TTTATAAATACTTATATTATTTCAACACCTTTAAACAAATAAAATAAAATAAAAGCTTGAAATGTGAAACCTTCCCCGGAACCTTTGTTCTCCGTGGTGTGTGTCGCCGCCGGACCGTCTCAGCTCACGGACTGACTTCCTGTGCGGACCGGTGTGTGCGTGTGTGTGTGTCCGAGTTGTGTTGATTAAAAGTGTCGCTTCGTCTCAGACTCACAACCTGTCGGTGTTTCTCTGTGGAATCGAACCCACGGCGGTCGAGTCATGACTCACGTCTTTCGGAAGGTGAGTTTTATTTTTGTGTTCTGTTTCCGCTAAATGTTTGTTTTCGTCGCAGAGGTCAAAGAAACAGAATCAGTTTCACTCTCAGTTCATTTCTTCTTCTTCTCAAAGTTTTAGATTTTTTAACATCTCGAGTCTCAATAATACAAATAAATTAGATGAACGCAGAAGAAACAGGAAGAGGGTTGGCTAGCTGAGGAAGCTAATGATTAGCCTTGTTATCTTTCCCTCGAAGGATCAGCTGACACGTGACCAGGTTTAATGAATGAATGAATGAATCACTGATTATTTATTGATTTAATGTGTTGGTCAATAAAGAAACCGAAGAGCTTCCGTCATTTCTGTATAAACGATGTTAAATGGATGAGAATGTTTTAATATGAAGTTTGATCCAGTTTTGTGTCTTTGTTGAAGAAATAATATAATTTTCACATGATTTCATTTAAATCTCACATGAAGCAGATGAGAGTTGACGTCGTTGTGTTTCATGTGTTCAGTTGCAGGCGTCTCTCAGTCGTCAGGTGTTTGTGTTAAATCCAACTCTTCCTTTCTGCAGGTGAGTGTTTCTCTGCTTTGCTCTTTAACTCTCATGTCAGTGTTTTATCACCGATAAACCACAGAATCTCAGGTTTTATTCTTATTTCAATATTTATCCACAACAGATGAATGTGAACGTATGACGTCTCCTTTAAGATGAAAAAACACGATGAAGATCAAGTTGTTTGAAATGAAACGCATCCTGTGTACAACTTGTGTATTTCGTTAAAAGTAATTCTGATCAGCTGCTTAATCGTCCGAACACGTCCTCTCGTTGTAAATCCTTCTCCTGACAACACATCCATGGTTTTCTTCTACAGGAGCACACCAAGCATCCAGCATCCTGTCTGGTGTAAGTTTAGATTTGTATAATTAAAACTCAGATTTATAGCTTGTGTACACAGTCGTACTCTAATGTACAGTCGTTCTTTTCAGGCACAGCGTCTGCGAACGAATATCACAACATGCCGACGCACGGGATCGGGAGATGGAAATATCTTTTGACAAAGAAAGTGGTGAGACTCAGAGACTGTTCATAATTTTCTATTTAGTTATTTTTTTAATGTATTTATTTAGTTTTCAATGAAGCCAATTTGTAAAAATGCTAATTTCCTGATTTCCTGTCATTAGAATAAATCAAAATCCTGGTGTGCAAACTTTATGTAGTTTTATTTTTATAATAATCCTCTTTCATAATGATTCGATTGGATAATGATATTTTTTAATAACTTCAGAAGTGGACGTCATGAATCGTTTGTTGTTGGTTTTGTTTGCAGCAAAAGAAAAAGAAAGACCGGCATCAGATGAAGCCGATCGTCCCGGCGACGGACACAGCGTACGGGACGCTGGACGTGAAGGTGTCGGGTTACGACATGACGCTGGTGGAGCGCTACACGCAGTACATCCACCACCTCTGCAACCGGCTCAGCATCAAAGTGTCTCTGTGGTGAGGACCTGAGAGTTTCCACTGAAACGCTTTTCTCAGGATAAAGTGCAGCTTGGAAAAATACTGTATTTTAATGCCGTGCAGATAATCATCAGCCTTGATTTGTCTCTGTCTCTCGTGTGGGGACGCTCTGGTTGAACGTGTCCCCAATGCTGTAACAATATCTTCCAATGTCGGTTTGTCTCCTGCAGCCACGCTTTGCCAACCAGGACCACAGAAGTCATGCTGATGCAGGAGCACGGCACCAAGATGTTCGTCGATGCTGTGCTGAAGACTCACGAGCGAGTCGTCCAGGTGAAAACTCAGCTTTTACGTTTCCTTCAAACTCCCATCCCATCATCCTTCGTTTGTTTCACCGAGGAGAACCTGAACATATCTGTGTTTCGTCTGCGTGTGTAGTTGAACAGCCTGAACACGACGTTATGTCCGGTCTTCATGGACGTTCTTTTAAAAAATCAACCAGAGGGAGTTCAACTTTCTGTGCAGGAGGTGAGTGAGCAGGAAAAGATGTGGAAAACCGAACTGCAAATAGTTTTAGGTTTATAGTTTAGGTTTTGTTCTATTTGATCCACTTCCCCCGTCAGACCCATGATAAACAGGATGTTGTGAGACTCCAGGTTTTCAGATGTGAGAGTTATCAGCTCGTTCATGGTTCTTACAGTAAACTGAATGTTTTCAGCTGTGGTGTACGTTTCAGTAACGAGCTGCTCTCTTCTTCTCTCGCTCTCAGCACACAGAGGCCGATTTCAAAGCTCGTTTCAAGGCTCGTCCGGAGCTGCAGGAGCTCATGAGTCACATGAAGCAATGAGCCGCTCGCTGTCATCACGGAAAACCTGTTTCACCTTCTGTATTTATTCCCTGACGTTCCTCGAGGAGCTCTGAAATAACTGTAAATGAAAGAATATAAACATAAACACTTGTTCTAAGAAAAATTAAAATGTATTTGAACTGCAGAGGCTCTGAGGATTTTGTGTTATTGTAGTATTTTCACAGAGAAGTATCACAAGTAGTAATAGAAAATGAGAGAACCCCTTTAAATTCTACGATCTTCTATTAGACCTCAGTACTTAAACGTTTATTATTTAAACAATTAAAATCGTTGCATTAGTTTTGTGCCTGAAAATATTTCTTAAATACAACAAATAAAAACCTGCAGTGTTTTAGAGACGGAACTTTTTTCTGAGCTCATCGGTGGAAGAAATATTTGATTTATTATTATGTTTATTATTTTCTTTCGTCTGTATAATAGAATTTAACTTAACTAATTCACTAAATTCATGCAAATAAAATGTAATTAAAAAAAAAAGAGAATACTTCCCCCTGAAGTAGAAATACTCTTAGGTGAGAGTACCTTGAAGGTGAATGTACTGATTCTTTGTCTTCTTGACACAAAGCAACTTCAAGCGACACGACATAGGTTAGCAAATATATTTTAATATATAATATTTATATTCATTTTAGCACAATGACAATGGCATACTTTCAGGTCAGTCTCATTTAAATCATGACAAAAAGCCACATCTTTGAATTTCCTTTAATTACACCTCATGTCATATTTCATTGCAGTCGCTGCAAAATAAATCCTTAAGTGCGTCTTTTGCCCCGTGAGAGGAAAATCTTAGCAAAAGTTTCTAACAGCATTGAGTCCATGGCGTCCGACTGGGTTTTTTACGTAGAGAGCTGAACGTGGAAAATGTATGAGTGGACGTGATGACGCTCCTCACAGCCTCCGACGCTACATCACTTCCTTTGTCTGAACCGATCAGCCGCGTGCACGTTGGCCAATAAATGATCACATTGTTTAGGATAATGAGTCTAAACCAACGACGCACGTTACGAGAGAAAACGAGAGAACACACGACCTGCAGCATTTCTTACTCTCACAACGTTGAGTTGTATGGTTGTACGTCACAGCTGAGGTTAAAGAATTTCAATTAAAATACCGCAAATGCATTGTGGGAAAATCTGCTGCTTGGAGGTTAGACTTTCAAAAATCACGGAGCTCTTTCCGCCTTCCTGGGTTTTGAGATAATCCGTTCAGTGCTGACACCTAATGAGACTTTTCAAGCGCCGTCCTGTCACCTCCTCTGAAACACGTCTTTCGGCTTCATGTTGCCACGGCGACACATCACACGTCTCCGGTTCAGACTTGGAATCAGCTTCTGTGATCTTTTACCGCGCAACACACTCACACCGGAAAAACATCGGACACAAAGATCGTTCACAACAAACAGGAGAAATCGTCAGAGGTCGAGCGTGAGGCCTCCGAGGCCGTGAAGCCCGGCGGTCTGGGATTAACAGACGTTGGCACTTTTACCTATTGAGATGCAGAACTTCGCTTTCATTTGTGCAACAAATATAAACTTTATTTGCCAAAATTCAAAGAAAAAGATTTTTTTATTTTTTTTGCTGTGCAGCTCCAAACGTACGTACGCGGTTTAATAAAACGTTTTCACAATATTCAGGAACGTCCAGCGACTTCTCCTGCGGTGGTTAAATAACTCGATACGACCGACCAGACTCTCAGCATTCACGACATCAAAGCACCTCGTTACCCTTTAATCTCACCATTGTACAGCATCTTGCGCCACATTCAAAATGATGCTAACTAACTGCAGACGTGTGGTGTCTCAGCTACAAGCCTCTAAACTGTCCGTCACTACTTCCTCTACTCGATCCAGCACTGATCTCCATTCATCACTTCATCATATCCCATTTAACATTCACCTTAAAACATTTCAAACTAAAGGTAGCAGGTAAACCTGTGGAGCCTCGGTTGTTCAATATTAAATATATAAACAGTATATTTAAAGGGGTGACGCTAAAAATAAATAAATCAACCATGAAATTTAATATTTCCCATTAAATACTCATGTTTTTTAAAGTTTCATTTATTTAGTTGGCTAACGTGTCTGGATTCTTCAGCCGTTTTATCTAACTCCAGTTTACTAGAGCGCTAAATTAAAAGCTGGCTACCGCTTTGTTAATTATACACAATTAAATCATCTATTTATTCAATAATGAACAGATTTTTTTTACCCAATTGTTTTTTTCCAGCGAGTAGAACGAGGAAAATACTTTGAATCGAAATACTAACAAACATTTTCTCTAAAACCTCGACAAATGACTCACGACCCGGTCCTCGTTAAATCTGCTGCTGTTGGTGCGATGTGACACGACTACACACACACACAAACAAAATGGCGGATGATGGTTTTCGTGACCGCTCTTTTCTTTTGTCATGATTCGGAAACTCTGAATAAAATCATTTTACAAGCAGTGACCACGACACATCTGAGCAAATACGATACAGTAAAACATAAAATGCTCATATCCGTTAATACAATGAAATGAGTATCGCATTTTCTTTTTTTTCTTTTTCTTCTTGTTGCTAAATAATCACCCACAGCCCAAACAGCAAAAAACGTAACTGAGGAGAATAGCATGTTATAAAAGTGTAGATGCCTGGTCTGCTTGAGTCCAGTTAGTAAAACAAAACCAGGACACGTAAAAACAACAACATACAGGCATTAAATAAATTAATCCATTTCAAAAACAAACACAGTGATAGATATTCAAAATACATATTTACAACGTAATAAAACGAAAGAAGACACAGTCTCGTCCTTAAGGGAGAATGATAATCTGGTTTGGATTTAAATTGACTGTTAGTTTTACATGTGGACACGTCTGCCTCTTCGCTCCGTCCTTCACCCACACATTGGTTTTATTCAGGTATTCACCATAAATACATATATGTATTTTAGTAGGTTTATACTTTGCAGCATTTACTAAGTTGATATGTACTCGGTACATGGAAATCCAAATTCTGACATCATTAGTGACTGATATGTTGATATATTATGTGCCAGTGGCTACAGAGGAGAACGCTAATCAACACAAACATGGAATCTGCCTGGTGGTCTATTCGACTTCAGGGGGGGGGGGGACTAGGAAGGATACATAAAAAAAACAAAGGGGGAGCGGCACAGCCATGTTTGGATGAATTTTAAGTACTTCAGTGATTAACCTGAATTTGAACGTAAGCTTCAACCAGGAGAATCTAGAGCATCAGGCAGTTGGGTTTATTTTCTCATGTGTACAGATATCGGATACTCAAAATACCACAGACTTACTAACATTGCCTACTGAACTTCTGAGAGTAAAATAAAATGAAATAAAATAGGATTAAAAGTCACTTGGTCAAATACACCTAAAGTCACAAGCTGCTATTCAGAAAGCACTTTCAAATTAAAACAAAGAAAAATCAGATACAATGGCCCAACTTCTCCTTCGCGGATATTTTGTACAAGAATGGAAACACGAGCTAAAGTCGGCCTTTTGGTTTGTAGAAGTACCGAAGCTCTGGAATTGGTCGGTGACGGTCCCAAACGTTCCGCGGCAGTAGTCACATCCATTTTAAACACTGAGCAGGACCATTACCCACAGGTCATAGCAGTAAGCACGACTGCCTCAGCTCTGTGACTGATCCCGGGTCGTGTTCTACAGTCTCAAAGCACAGGAGGGCAGCTACCGCTTCACTTGGGGTCCGGCCTCGCTAGACGGGACAGTTTGGACCCTGAGGGGGAAAATCCACCCAGATACAAAACAATAGTTTATGATGAAATGTTGCATTTTGCAGTTTTTTTTAATATGAATTTGAGTTTGATAGAGGCCCCGTCTTTGTCCGGGGAATAAAACGTTTGATTAAACTCAGATTCTAACAGTCTAACAGACCAGAGTGGTCTCAGGATGCCTGTGGATGTCTGACCGAAACAACTGAACCATAAATGATCATGTCAAAGTATTTCTATGCGGACTATTCCTTTAACAAACCATAAAAAACTCCATCTGGATGTTCTATGTAGAGAAACACGTCCTCGCTGCACATGCTCAGACATCAACGTACAACTGAATGTCGGGATCTCGTCTCGTCACAATTTGAGAGCTTGGTCCGTTAGATTAAGCGATTTGTTCCGAGGGTACGTAACAGTGCAGAATTTTCCTACGGACGTAAAATGCATAGGACACAAATCAGTTGAACACTACGGCATACGGCAAGCAATACAAAAGAAAAAGAAAACTAGACAAAAGTCTTGGTCGTTGGCACTGGGGTCGAGGAGGGGGGGGGGCGGGGCAGAAACAGATCCACAGACCGACACTGAAGTCCTCAGTAAGTTTCAAAATAAAAGTAGCAACGCTCTCTTTAAAAAGCGAGAGCCGTTTTGATTAACCTCACGCGTGCCGGCGTCCGTCCTCGCCTCACGCACGATCTCTCACAGCCGTGAAAAATTTCGGGGTGAACGCAAAGTCGGCTAAGGCTTCGTCGCGGGGAAAAGAGACACAGTGTTCAAAAGAGCAGTTATTTTAGTCAAGTTTCAACAGTCTTGCTATCGTGATGGTGCGTGGCGGGAATGGCATAGTCAGCGGGTTATGAGCCATTGAGTGCATTAGAAATCCAAAATTCTCTTTTGACATTTTCCGCTTCTTTAACTTCAATCTATTTCCTCACTTTGCCTTTGATTCAAAGATAAATCACATTCTGGTCAGTTATCGTCTGTGCAACAAATGAAATGGCAAAAACTAAACGGGTGAAAGAAACGTTGGTGTTTGTCTCCTTTTGTTTCACGCAGCACACGTTCACACTTTAAATAAAATATCCGATATACTCTCTGAAAATATACTTCGGACTCTGATGTCGTCCGAAGTAAATTTCTTTCATCTTAATTTGTTCGCTCTGAATTGTTCTGATAAATGTAGGTACAGTGAGAATTTGCTGCTTTTTGCTGTGTTCCCTTTATAGAACACACACGACACGCCTATATATTATTTTTGCTATATTTTCTTTCAATATATTATTTGCGTATATACATGTGCAGATTTTCACACTCACTGGTCCAATTAATGTAAAGAAAACCTCTGGACAGGGAGCGTCCATCGTATAGAAATAACTACAGCTATAATTTCTATTTTCTGTAAATAACTATAAGCTATAAGCTAAAGGCAAATATTGGCTTTTCCTATTAAATCGACTTTAAATATTTTCCTCTAAAATATGACTTTTGTCGCTCTTTAAACATGATATAATTATCTGCATAAGAGTAAAGGGAATGCATCGTAACTGACGAGTCTTTTGAGATAAACTTTTGTTTCATCACTCGTGGCAACTTGATAACAGATGTTTAATGAACGGGAGTTTGACATTTGGGGAAATGCGCTTATTTGCTTTCTTTCTGTGAATTGTGCGTTCACGTGACGTCAGAACGACGCCATATCAAGTCGGAACAACTTTCATACTCGAGGTACCGTGTTGTTGACGTCATCTCTTGTCACTCAAATTTTACAATCAGTTCTGAATAGTTGCTCTCATGAATTTCACTGACTTATGCTGTTGAACACATCCAGGTGTAGCATCCTCGATGTCGTAACTTAGTTTGTGCCAAAACATATAGTTGCTAGTTCTAATGTGAACTTTGTCACTGTTGTTTTCTCTCCACTGCTCGTCCATCTCACAAGAACCAAACATCCACTTTTTAGCCGTGCAGACGTTTCTATGATTAATGTGCAAAAGTTTGAAATTACTGAAATGCCTGTTGCACTTGGTCGTTTTGCTTTGCTCTGTGTTGTTGTGCACATATTGTAAAGTGTTGCCACGGTGGCGTTTAAACGCTGTAAACACATAAATACAACACATTTTGTTTAGTGTCCATGTTTTTTCCACATTCCCACTTCAAAGCACATGAACACATCAAAGCCAGCACAACAACATCACAAACGGGACCTTCCGAGGAGCACGTCAGAGAGTTAGTATCTCGAGCTAAGCTTAAAGACCGGATGGCTGGCTTTGAACAAAAGCTAATAAAATCCACTAACCAGCTCATACAATGCATCTATTCATTTGTACAGAATCCAAAGTGTAAAAACAAGAATAATCAAGCTAGCTGTTTTGCCGTTTCCAGTATTTATCGAAACGCTAACCTACTGTTAACTTCAACTTCATGTTTAAAGTTTTGCTTCTTTTTTTCACAGCAAGAAAGCAAATAAGCAAATTTTGAACTAATCCTTTCACATTACAAACTAAAATGCAGCTCTACACTAAAATTAGCAGTGTTGTATAAATGAACCAGTCGTACGTGTGAGATTTCGATGACGTTATCTTCTAACTTACTTTTCATTTACTTGAGCTTTGTTTTAAAAATAGTTTTTAAACTATTAAACATTTCTGTTTGATTTGATCTCCTGATGGTTGTTTTCAGTTCGGTACGTTTCTGACATTTTGCACATTCAAGGTGAAGTAAGAAAAAAAAAAACAAAAAAAAAACTGCAGAGTCATGATTACGTACAAACTTCTTCTACGTGTGTGTGTGACGATAAAACTTTGCCATTTCATTTCGTTGTTAAGTTTTGAAGTTTGTAGTTTTCAAAATCAAATGTGCGGATGTCGTCTTTGTTTTAACAGTCACATCCTCGACTACCATGCACACACACACACAC